TACCCACATGGATTTTTGATATATTTTTCATATATACATATATATAATACATATAAATATATGAAAAATTGGTGTGGGTACTCAAATAAAAGCTCTTAATGAGTGTAACATCGGGATGAGCTTATATCTTTAAAAATGTCAATAGTTCACGAGATACAAGGTCATTTCTATATTATGTTAAATTACACTGTACTTTCTTCAGTGTTGACATTTTTAAAGATATAAGCTCATCCCGATGTTACACTTATCAAGAGCTTTTATTTGAGTACTCACATGCATTTTGATATATTTTTTATATATAAATATATAATTATATGAAAAATTGATGTGGGTACTCAAATGAAAGGTCTCGATGAGTATAATGTCAAGGTGAGCTTATATCTTTAAAAATGTCAATAGTTCACGAGATACAAGGTAATTTCTTAATTATGTATCTAGGGATAGAGCATTTTCGAATTCAGCAGAATGATATGAAACCATGAAAAGGCACAACTTCATACCAAATTCAACCACAAAAACCCATTTTATCATATAAATACATAAAATTTTGCTTATTCTCTTAATAATATAAATTTTTTAATTATAAATTTTAAGAAAATTGGTTTTTTGAGAACATTTAATTTTTTTAATTAGAATAAAATTGCAAGTGTCAAACAACTAGGCCAGTCTCAATATATAAATTTCTTTGAAAATTTGTTAAAATTGTGATAATCAACTTTTTTTTTTTTAATTGTCAATTTAATCAATTTTTTTTTCTAATTATTCATTTTTTTATGTATTTTCCAAAAAAAAAAAATATATGAATAAAACCAAATAGAAATTTCGTTAAATAAAATGAAAATTAAAATCGTTGACCCCACTTGTAAATATTTACCGAATTATTTATTACAGAAAAAAAAATCTTACCGTCGACGAGGAGTGATGTCGCGCGGAAATAGGGGGCGCAGGAGAAGCCGCTCCATGGGAAGTGGTGTCAACAGCTGGACTATTGGACCTTTGACTATTACCTGGACTGTGTGTTGTAGTATCAGGAGGAGAGCCCTGTCTCATGATAGCCGACTGAGCATTGTTAGCCTGATTGCCGGCGGTCTGAGTGGAGACTGAATGCCTGACCATCGAGGGACTCAGCTGATCACCTTGCTGGCCATTCTGATCAATAATAATACCAACACTACCACTACCACTCCCACTGCTGTGATTATTATTGTTGTGATTTTTATTACCACTTGTACTAGTCAAACTGAATTGCTGCTGGTGAATTTGCTCGACACCCTGCTCTGAGGACGGCGAGCTGATGGTGCTCTTCGGCGAGGACGGTGACTTTCCTTGGATCATTCCCGCGCTGAGAATGTACTGATTATGATCAAGATTCAGCGACTGCTCAACGTTGCCATTACTCGTCGCGACCGACTGAAAGTCCGGGATCTGGTTGTTCGAGACCATGGTCGTCTGCTGCTGGACAATCGTCGTGTTCTGCTGAACGAAGGTGGTGTTCTGCTGATTAGAAGCCGAGGACACCGCGATGTTCTGGGCAGTACCACAAGGTACCATCAGCGTCTGCCCATTCATCTGGATGAACTCCTGCTGGCCTTGAATATTCGACGGCCTAACTTGCGAGGTATTAAAAGTCATCTGCTGATTCGGACTCACGTTCGCGACAATTGGACTCAGTTGGTTGCTGAAAGACGTCGTGCCATTCACCAGAAACTGCCCACTATTGGAGGATAAAAACTGTGTCCCGGGACTGTGTTGCTGAATAAGTTTACCTCCAGCAGCTTGAGGCGCGCGAATTACCATCCCCGCGGGTCCTGCAGCAAGAATACTCTGACTTGGGCTGAAAATTCCGCTGTGACTCTGAATCGGCGTCAATACATTCTGCCCATTGACATTCTGAATCTGCAACTGCATGCCTAAATTCCCGGTATCTTGCAGAAGAGTAGCAGTACCGTCAGCGGACATCACCATGCTGCCCAAACCAGGTACAATGAATTGCTGAATGGTCGGGAAATTTTGCACCATACCCGTAGCGCCGTTCAATAAATTAACCGGCTGCAGTAGATTGATCTGCTGCGTCGGCTGGGGGTTCGTTATAATTTGTTGAGTGTTAAATTGCGCGGAAGTCGCACCTGTTTGACCATTCATAACCAACTGAGCGGGAGCGCCGCCTTTGCCAGGTACAATGGTCAGCGCTTGAAGCATCGGGCCTCCAATACTCTGCTGGAAGTTCTGCTGAGCGAAGTTCGACTGGCTCTGCATTAGCATCCCAGTATTCTGCTGCGAGGAAGCAATATGAAGCATAGATGCGACAGTCTGCGAGTTATTCTTCCGCTTTTTGTACACTTTCTTCTTGGTGACAGTTGATTCGGGGCTGAGGAGGTTCGGCTGCCGGTTGACGATGTTTTGATTGGTGGTAACAGCACGGGTGACGTCTTGGTTAGCTTCCAGTATCGACTGAGCATTCTGGAGAACGTTCCCAGTCGCCACGGTCAGGTGGGGAATCTGAACGTTCTGCCCATGGAGGCTGTCCATGGTCATCACACTGGGTTGGATCAGTACGGGGGTCTGAATGGTGTTGACCAGTACGGTTGGCTGCCCAATGACTTGCTGCGCGACCCCGACCGCGGGAATCACTTGGCTGACTGCTCCGGTGACGCTAGTCACCATCGGAGACACCGACAACGGTGGCATCGAACTGGCGTTTGAAATTATCTTCGGCGGAGGCGGAGCCATCACGCCGCTGATCCCCGATCCCGTGCTGGCCATGATCAGCTGCCCGCCGCTGGACACGAAAATGTGCCCCGGAGGCAGCGTCGAGCCTGTAGAGTGCTTCAATACTCCACCAGAGGCGATAACGTTGTGGACCTGGACGTTGGACTGCTCCTGATGATGTGGCAATGATGAGCAAGAGCTGACCGGCTGAGGCACCTGGATGCTGCTTACAACACTCTGCACCATCTCCAACGGTGACTTGGACACCATGGTCTGAGACTGACTGTGGATAATCGGCGTCGAGTTTGAGTGGTGCGAAGAAACTACGATACTTGCTGTTGGAGTCGACAGCGAGCTGCTGTGGGATTTGCTGGACAAAATGTTGGAAATCCCGGAAGGCGTGTTAATGGAGACTGTTGCGGTGTTGGCTCGACCCGCCAGCACGGAAGTTATTGTGTTGGAGCTGAAGGTGTGCCCACTTGCCATGGTTGTGATGACAGTCGCGTTTCCGCTGTAGGGAATCATTGAAATCCGCTGGATTGGATTGATAGTATGAGGATGGGGCGCGTACCCTTCTGGTGTCGTCGATTGTCTGGTTTGCGACTGATGACTTGACTTGTGACTGATTGAATGTGACGTAGTCAGCTCTCTCTCAGCAGAGGAGCTGCCGGTAATAATAGCCTGGGGAGGCGATGAACTCGGTGATATTGTGCTCGAGGCTGATGTCATTGACAGACTTGCTTGACTTTGATCTTGATTTATGCTGTTATTGTTACTGCTGTTATTATTATTGGGATTAGTATTGGTGGTGTTGATGTTTATAATAACAGAGGATTGCGAGGGCTGCTGACCAGGTGTGAGTGACTGAGGCGGCGCCTGAGAGTGTGAGTGAGGCGTAGGAGGCTGAGAGTAGCTGTGAGGAGTCGACGGCTGGGAGGAAATGAGACTCTGTGGGGTTGCTGGTTGAGAAAGCGACGACACAGGAGTCTCAGAGTTCGCTGGACTGTTGGTGCTGACTGGTGAGCCGTGGCTGGTGCTGATAGTCCCGCCTTGAATGGGCCACGAGTCCATCTGCTGGTTCGTCGACGCGAATCTGTCTCCGTAAGTAGAGGACGTCACTGGGTCGTCACGCTGGTCCGTATGCATCACCGATGCATACTGCCGGTGAATCTGCTGCTGTTTGTACTGATCCGTGATGAAAGACTGGGTGTCAGCGCTTGTCACGCACCCGTGACATGAACCAGTGTCTGAATCATTGGCCATAGTCGTGGGTGTCATGCTACTGTGTACGACAATCGGCGAGGTTGCGTGATTTTTCCCGGAATTGCAAATCGACGTGCTTGTTGGACTTGTCGCTGACGAGGGCTTTTGATGCAGTATGTAATTGTTATTACTATTATTATTAATAGTATTATTATTACTATTACTATTATTATTTCCATGGACTTGAGATGGCATTTTATTATTGATCATCATTTGACTACTGCTAACACCAGTTTGTCTTGATATTGTACTATTTAGTAAAGCCGTTTGCTGGGCCAGATATCCACTAGGATCATCAAGAAAACTAGGACTGCTATTATTACTATTATTATTATTATTATTATTATTATTATTATTATTATTATTATTAGTAGCAGTATTATTATTAGTATTGCTACTATTAATAGTAGACCCAATTTGATTAGGCTGTGGTTTATTATCATTAAACTCATCTTCTGGCCCGGGACTGGCCTGCTCAATGCTCCTGATCTCGGCCATGTGATGACGTTGCTTTTTAACAAGACTCTTACTAGTCTTGGCCTTTTTCCGAGCGACTTCGTCGGTCCAGGCGGCCGTGGGAGGAATGTGATGATGGAGCGGCGGAACGCGGTCCAAGCTGTTGCACGTTATGTTTTGAATGCTCGCTGCGGGTGGTGACTGATGGGAGGGCACATTAGTACGGGTTTGTTGGCCCCACATCTGGTTCCTTTGGTTAAAGTGATGTCCAGGCTGTCCATTTATTATAATCGACTGAGTGTCAATGCTGTTTATATTTGTAGGACTTCTTCCTGGCTGACTCACGAGCATATATTGCTGCTGCTGCTGCTGCTGTTGTTGTTGTTGTTGTTGTTGTTGCTGCTGCTGATGACCATTTTGTTTCTGCTGCTCCATCACCATCTTATTAGGATCACAGTTTCGAGTAAATTGTATCTGGTGCTGATACATTCGTTGCATACTGTCGTGATTTATGTTTTGCATGCTTCCATTTTGGACATGATGCCGCATGTTATGATTATGCATCATCAACTGTTGTTGCTGTTGTTGCTGCTGCTGCTGCTGCTGCTGCTGCTGTTGTTGTTGTTGTTGTTGTTGTTGTTGTTGTTGTTGTTGTTGTTGTTGTTGTTGTTGTTGTTGTTGTTGTTGTTGTTGTTGTTGTTGTTGTTGTTGTTGTTGTTGTTGTTGTTGTTGTTGTTGTTGTTGTTGTTGTTGTTGTTGAGCCATCTGCTTAGCATTGATGTCATCATCAGCGCCAATCGACGGAGTTCTAAGCCTCATTTGTTGCTGCTGTTGCTGACCATCAGAATTGTTCATCGCAGAAATCAGCTGCCCATCCGACTGCTGAGAAATATCACTCAAGTGATGCGTCATTCCTTGATGATTAAACTGCATCGGCTGCTGGCAAACCTGAGACATTTGTTGTTGTTGTTGTTGTTGTTGTTGCTGCTGCTGCTGATGTTGTTGCTGTTGCTGCTGTTGTTGCTGCTGTTGTTGCTGCTGCAGCATATGGAACTGATCAATCTGATTCTGCATCATGTGTTGCTGATTATTCTGCTGCTGATACTGCATCGAGTGCTGGTGTAACGAATGCATTTGTTGATGCATTTGGTTCTGCGAATTTTGGGGCTGCAGGTGGTGGATAAAGCCGTCGTGATGACTGAAGTTTGCCTGCTCTTGATTGTGATGCTGAGAGTGCTTCTGCATCTGGATATGCATCTGCTGCTGCTGGTTCATGTGTTGTTGCTGCATCGCATGCACTGACTGATCGTTCAATTGATTTAACTGATAATGGGGCGATTGCTGATGAGACAATTGGTTCGCTATAACATTCTGATGATGTTGGGTCATATGTTGCTGCTGCATCAGTTGCTGTTGTTGTTGTTGTTGCTGTTGCAGCATCAACTGTTGCTGCTGCTGCGTCATATTATTGATGTTGTTAAAATTATTCGTCTGTTGATTCATGATCAACGGATTTCCCATCAACATACTCGTCATATTGTGGGAGTTTAGCCTCTGTTGTATGTTATTGTTATTGTTTATGTTAGTACTACTATTATTATTGTTGTTACTATTGTTATTTCTCAGAACACAACCATTTACGTCAATATTTTGCGACGGGGAGTTTATTAATTGATGACCAATTTGCTGGTTATTTTGCTGAATCGTCAGACCAGTCATTGGCCAAACCTACAATAAAATATGTGTTGTTAATTTATTATTTCATAATAATTAATCGTACTGTTAAAAATTTTCTTTGTCTAGATTTTTATGGAATTAAAAAATTTTTATGCACAAAAAAAAATGTCCTTGAATCAAGTATATAATTTTGAAGAATTTAATCTTCTTGATTTGAGCAGAAAAATTTTTCTTGATTTAAAGAAATTTTACTTGATTCAAGAATTTTTCTCTCAAATCAAGTTAATTTTTTTTTCACTGTGGAATTAAAAAATTAAAAATTATTATTGCATAAAAATGAATCTAAATGTTAAAAGAATAAATCTTTGAAAGTTTAATAAAACAAATTGTCAAAGCAAAGACAAAGAAAATTAAAAACAGTGAATATAATTAATAAAATTACCTGAGATCCGTTAGAAGACGGTAAACTCTGGATTCCAGTAGCGCTGGCTACTGCAATAGCACGCTCGCGTTGTGCAATTAATTGTGACACTGAAACACCTGAGTATACGTTTCCCACACTGCTGAGCTTACGTTTCTTTTTTTTACTCAGGCCATCTGTAAACAATGACATTTTAATTAATAATGTTATATTAAAATTACCATTATTATTATTATTATTATTGTTATTGTTATAATAATTTCTATTGCTATTGTCGTGAGTCTTTGTTAAAGGGATGTAAGTAGAAGGAGAATTATATTGGGATAATATTCTCGTTGGTATTCATAGTAGATCGGAAAAGCCCTTTGGTGTAATTAAGTTTACGCATAAACTCTAGAATAATCGAAATTCCCGGTGCCTTGAGAGCTACCAGCCGCACGTACTCTAATTCTCGGTCCACGGTAAAATCACGATCCCACTTTATTGTATATATAGTACAAACTATACCGGCTGGTATTTTACACACCCTTCTCTTCTCTTCTCTGTTCTTCGGTTCGCCCCTTTGCTTTCCCTTAACTTGTATATTCCTTGTGTCTCCTGTGCCACCCTTTTGTCACCGCCATTCAAACAATCCCCAGAGATTAATTAGACCTCGAAAGACCTGGCGATTCGTGAACACCGTATAATTAACTCAACCGAGAAAATTACAGGACAACAGTAGCTTAATAATAATAATAATTATTATTATTACTTCCGAAAAACGGATGTATAAAATACTCCAAGACACTAATTAATTAAATTGCTAATTTTCATTTTAAAAAACAACTAAAATCCTCTCTAATTAATTACAAAGCCTATTAATTGAAACCCACGAGTATTTGATAACAGAAAATTAATTAAAAGTCTAAATAACGTGATAAATCAATTTTAATTAAAAAAAAAAAAAAAAAAATCTTAAGCTTGGCTTTGTTTTATTGATACAGTCAAGTCATTTGAAAGCGATTATTAAAGCTTCTAAAGACCAGTTGAGTGTCGACACTAAAATGAAGAGGATCTTGATAAGGTATTTGCATGTACCTACTATTATTATTATTATTATTATTATTATTATTAATATTATGCCAAGAGAGAATGAGTAACGAGAGGGAATTGAGCGGCATCGGGGGGAAAGTCGTCTTTTATCTGGCAGCCTACGGCGAATAATTATTCTCCGATGTGAAAGGGATGATAACTAACAGAGAAAACCGGGAGTCAGGAAAAGCTTGTTGGTAAAATGAGGGTAAAGCTCAGCGTGAGAAGAAGGAGAAGAAGAAGGAGTAGGAGAGGGGGAGGAAGAAGAGGATGAGAGAAGGAAGTTTTAAAGGAAGAAGGAGTAATGAATCTCGTCAACGCAATACAACGTCATCCGTACTCTGTTTTCTCTTAACGAAATCCAGCTGGGTAAAGCAACCCTACCTTACTCAGTAGTATTTCTCAGGGGTTGGTAAAGATTTACGTTAAATCTTGGGGCCAATTTGTGGCCTGACATTAAACGTCTTCAAGGTATAATAATAAATTAGTAAACAAACGCCGGTTGGATCTTCAAGTTGAATTATTAATTTATCTTAAACACACACTTTAACTCAATTTTATCATCATTGTTATTTTAATTTTAATTAACTCGATGAATAAATAAATATTTAATGGAACAAATAATAAAAAAGTTAGTTTTTTTATCAAGCCACATTATTATCAACGACTATGTAACCATTTTGAAGATAAAAGTATTAAAATCCAATTAATAGGTGTTGATAGTACGAAATGAAGCGTAAAGAAAATAGAATCGTAATTTATAAGTAAATATTTAGCGGAGCTCCATGAGTTAATCGTATAACAAGTGTTATCCTGATGATGCGGTGGTTGAGACTGAATGAAGGTAATTGCAACAGCGCAGGCGCGTAAATCGCGCACGGAACACGCGCAGGAATCACAACTAAACCAACTAAACTGATATGAACACGTAACACCAACAAAAGTGCCGACTATACTGAGTTACCGTTGAGTAGGAGAACTCTCGTATGTTTTCGTCCAAGCATGTCCATCCTACAAACGACTTGCCTTTTCATCCTCACCTCCCACACCACCCGACGAGCAGAACGGCTTCTCGAACCCTCTGTTCGCGTTTTCCCTCCTATCCCCCTGCTCCCTCTTCAGTCGGTTGGCAACCTTTTCAACCCTCACCTTGGCGCCCCCACCCGAGAACAACCCTCCAGAGGATCACCATCACTGCTACCGTAAGCTTCAACGCTGCTCCTATCCAAGTACAAAATTAACCCTTATCATCGTGTCTTGTCACCCTCGAGTGACTCGAGCGTCTTTACAAGACATTCACTTTTCTCCAGAGACATTTTTTATCCGCTCTTTCAATTACTTGTCTCCCAAACATCTTTTTCATTTAGCTCTTATTTACAAATGTCATTGTAATCTTCATCATTGTTGTTATCGAGTAAATAAATAAAACAAAATTGTTCTCCAGCTAGCTTCAAAGCTATAATTTAACGCATCGAGTGATAATTTATCGAAGCGAGTAAATTAATGAGCTGGCCAATTAAATAGAACCACAGACACATCTTATCCAGTCCGGACAATTGTCAGGACTGCAACAAAAGCCGAGTTTGTACGCAAGCGCGAGTTTAAGCGCGCAGAAAACCGCGCGCAGGAATATGGATGGGCATAAAAACCGGACATGCGGCAACCGCATACTACCAGCTACTACCACTATAAGAGAACACAAAATTACATAAACCCGTGGTGGTTGTAAAAGGGGTGAAGTGGCATGCTGCAAGTGTGAGTATGGGTCCATACTCTATACACACAGTAGTAATATATAAGTAAAGTATAAAATAGTAGTGAGTGTACGACCATAACTCTTTCTATTCCCCTGGCTCCGTTTTTCCGTCCTTTATATCCATTTACCTCGACAACCTTCGGCACAATGCCACTTCATAAGGCTCAACGACGCTCATATTCTCCTACAAAATTAACCTTTATCAGCGTGTCGTAGCCACACCGTTCTCTCTCGCCGACAAAATGCCCCACTCTCAGCTATTACTTCTGTACGTTTATACTAGAGCGAGTTGGAGGTATTCGTGAGTAAAGGTTGCCTGGCCACCGGAGTGGAGAGCTTTCGTGGGTGTGCAGTCTGTAGTGTGTGAATACACCGGCGATCCCTTCTCTATAATATGTTAAAAGAGGGTAGAGTAGCTACTTGATCCCCCGCGGAATCCACCGTTCACCGAGTTGGCTAGAGCGGATTCCTTCCTACTCCCGGGACTTATTGATCGCCCGGTGCGATAAGAAGACGCGAGCTGGCTGATTGGTCTCCTCGCCAACTGGCAAGATGTACGCGGGGGTTGTAAGTGGAAAAGCGAGCGCGTTTGCTCTGACTATGACGACAACGTTACTGGGTTTAGGTTTTGGTTTGTCGATTTATATCCTCTACATTCGCATCGTATCGCAGAGGAGAGAGTGTAAACGGTAGATGAGGGATGTTGAAGAGCTGAGAGGGATGAGTGCAACGGCTTTTGTGCTGCTAGATGTATGGATGTATTCAAGTGCTCCGTAAAATCCAACCGCCAACCATCGACGTTGAAATTGAGCTCCCGAACAACGGGATATGTGAGAGATAAGAAAGATCTCAAGGGGTGGAATATCAACGGACCACCGACAAAGCGATCCGATAACGGGTGAAAGCTTTTCATGAATTTCGTATTATAGAAAAATAATGTCTTGTCCTTTTTTTCTTTCGTTTTATATTCTGAAACGAGGTAGAGAGTATTGTACAGCAGCATCACTTCATTCCCACTCACTACACGTTAATTCGATTATTATTATCTTTTATTGTTTCCAACGATTCCGTACAATGCGGCAGTCTCTGTTCACTGAGCTCACGATTATAATTAAAATTAATTTGTTTGATAAAACAATAAAATGATTATTCATTTTTCGGAAATAATTACTCGTTTTATTATTATATTTAATGAAATGCTAATTGAATTACGTAAGAGATATAAAATGCCAGCCACTGAATTTAATTAACAGGGACGGGTAATTGAAAATAATAATTAATAATGTTGTGTTTATTGTAATAATGCTGAAATATTTTTAATTATTTGTCAACGTGTGTTGATATTAAAAATTTATTTATTATTATATAATATATTTAATAACAAGAGACTTTTAATTACAAGCTATTAAAAACTGAACGAACGATATTAAATTAATTACCCACTTTTATCGAGAATCAATAGCTGAAGAATTCAATTTATTAAAACAAAATAAAAATAAAAATGTTTTAACCTTTAAAAAAAAATATTTTATTGAATATTTTAAAAGTACACGGTTATTTATCTGAAGCATTAAATTTTATGTCGCGTGTTAAAAAAATTGCACTTTCATTTTTTTTGCACCCAAGTGGATGAAAATATTCTTCTTTTTCAAGTATTAAAATTCTTTAGAGTCATCTTTAGCGGGATCTTATGACGTGCAAGAGCTTTTCGTTCGCCACCGCAGAGACTGATAAATACGCCAGCAGAGTGCACCATAAAAAAGGTATAAACCGCTTGTCCTCTGGCTTTTATTTTCCCGTTGTGTTTAGCTGAGGAAAAACACGAAAACCGTGATGCTCACAAGAGGTGTGTGTGCGTTTCATCCTATCGCGTCAATCCTGTCTCATTTATCTTGTTTTTTGTTTTCGTATCCGCGTTTTTTTTTTTTTTTCCACTTTCTCTCTATACTTTTTACTATTATTATTTTTTTATTTAACCATTTTTTTGTTTTCCTTTATTACTCTTTCTTTCTTTCACTTTTGGCACAGAAGCTTGGTCGCTTGGTTTTTTATATCGCCGGGAAATTGGAATTGAAGCGACAGCCGAGTGAGCCCCGAGGGCACCCGGTAAAAGTTGAAACGAGCCCATAAAACATCGTAAATACTGTCGCCACTACTTTATGCTCTACACTAAACTGCAGTACGTTGTTATACACGCATATATATATTTATATATGCGCCACTAGTCGTGTGATAATAAACCGTGCCTTTATATAATAAAAGCACAAGTTAAAAAGTATAAAACTGAATATTTTTTTTTTTAATTTTATGTTACCCTCCAATAACGCCTTTTAGTATTTTTAAAAAATGAATAATTAAAAGTGTCAATAACTATCAGCGAGTTAGTAAGTAATTAATATTATAAAATGTTAAAGGCTCTGATAAAATAAAATAAATTAAGTAGTAAAAAAAATTCAACCAGAGGTGTGAGAACTAAAAGTAAAAAAAAGTAAAAGGTGTAATTAAAAAGTTGTAACGACGTGATAAATCTCCAGGAACTTTCTGTTTTAATAGTAGATTCAAGCATGACGATGAAAAGGATTTGCGAGAACATTTAGTGAGCACTTTTGAGAGTTTAACTCTGCTGGCGGTACCCGAGAGTTAATCGACTTGCCAGTACGGTCACTTAAGTCAACTCAATTGATATTTATTTGATCGTAAGTGCGACAGGAATTCATTATTAATTGATATGTTTTCATTATAAAAAAAAAGTCAAGTATCTAAACGTATAATTGAAATGTTAATTAACAATTAATTATTTAATTACGCGGAATAAATGAGTGGTCGTTTACGAGAAGGAGATTTACGTAAATGATAGCGTGAAGCAATATATAATATAAATCCCAGGAGAGTTTTGATTGAATTAGCGGCGTTTAAAGTAATTACTGGTATTTAGCAATAACGTGGAGCAACCTTTTCCGCTGGTGGGTTGCCGGTAGTTGGAAATGGAAGGAACGCGAGGATGAGAAGAAGAAGGAGATGGAAATTCAGCTGGAGATGGAGAGAAAATTAGAGCAATTTCGAGAATGGCGTAAGGTAGTTACAACATTGTTGGGGTAACACGGCGGTCGAGTGCGAAAGTGACTATGCGGCTGTACTATGATGGTACTGCTACTTCTCTTGGTTGTTTCTGGGCTGCTTCCGTAAGCTAACTACATCGCAAAGCTATACTAAAACAGTTAAACGTTTAATCGAATCAGTAAATGTGAATTGAAACTTTAATTAATCTCCTAATCTCACTTATACTCTTGTGCTTACACTAACGTAAATTACTCTCGTTAAATAAAATTTTATAATGATAATAGTTATGATTATTATTATCATTATTATTGTTAGAAAAAAAAAAACCATCAAGTTTCCGTCCTTTGATTGCCGGATAATTAAATAGTTCTCGCGGTTCGTGGTACTCTCTCCGTGGAGTTATAAATATATTTTTGATAGAGGAAAAGGAAAGTTGAGGGAGTAATTTATTAGTTTTGAATGGTCGTTAATAATAAATTATAATTATAATTATAATTAAAAAAGTGGTGAGAGAAAGGCAAAAAGTTTAAATGCCGATATCGGTGGAGATTGGAAACAGATGGAATTGATTGGAAGAAAATTAAGAGAGTATAGAAACAGGCGGAGGTAAAAGGAACGAAATGGTATGGCTCGGGGTGGGCAGAGATGGGTGGCTGCCGTTTTCGAATGAAGAAAAGTTTGGCTGACTGCCTGATACTGCTGTTACTGCCATAGCTCTATACTTTGCCGGAGTTTTGCGGATGAAAAATAAGCAGGACAGAGACGGGAGACGGAAGGAATGAAAATAAAAATGAAATAATAAAAAAGTGTATGAGCTGGGGAAAGAAAAAAGTTGAGTAATTTCCGACCGCTGAATTCTATCGGCACAATAAGGGACTGGGATAGGAATAGGATCTGTCGAAAGACTGTGCTGCGAAAAGAAACGAGAAGAAATTACGAATTGGATTTCCGTTGATCGAAGTATCCATTATCCGAACGGCGTTGGGTGGCTATTCAATCTGCAGTTATCAAGAGCGACGAACTAAAGAAAGGTCGCTAAAGCGGAATCGCGTGGAACGAGTTTATACGCTTCTGATGATCACTGTAGTAGTAGTAGTAGTAGTAGTAGTAGTAGTAGAGTAAAAGTAGTAAAAAGTTGTTAGAGTCGTGGTGGTGGTAGTGGTGACGGTGATACGCCGAGTAAAAAGTCAAGATAAGGGGCCGAGGGTCAAGGGGGCGATGGATCTTAAAAAAAAGTCCTCATGGAGGAAGAACAGAAGGGAATAAAAGATAAAAATATTTTACGAATGAGGGTGTACGTTTAAAAAGACTTTTTGGCGCAAGAACCAAATAGGGATGTCGACTACTTACATTCCAATACTTTTAGTTTTTTTTTCCCTTTATATTACACTCTACCTCAACCTACTCTAGCTATGGCATTGCTGCTACGGCTGACTCTGTCTAGTTTTTTTATTTTATTACTTTATTTTCTTTCTCACTCACCCCACAGTAGCCAGCTCACCCGTTTCTCTTCTATCGTAATAACATTATGACGCGATGAAAGTTTAATACCGCTCGCCCGGAAATTTAATATCCCAGTGCTCGTCTTATTTTTCTTCGTTACCGCACACTGGAAATTACGAGTGATGAATAGGATTTTCACGGATAAAAATCCAGTGAGTGAGAATATGAACAAAAATATTGTAAAAAAAAAAAAATAACTTACTCAAAGAAATAAAATAAAAAAATTATATTATTAAACCTTCTGAATAATGGAAAATTGAAGACTTCTCAATTTTCGCTGAGTCAATAAAATTTTATTTATATTCATCAGACTATTGTGATAATAATAAGCTCCTTTTAAAAGTGAAATATAAATTTTTTACTCCTCAATATTTAAATTTATAATTTTTCTCATATTAAATAATAAAATTTCAACTTTATATATTTATATTAACATTGAATAAATTAAATTTTATTTCCCCGTAAAAGGAAGCTAATTTAAAAATTTTTAATTACTAAAAACAGTAATTTATCGTTGAGGTTGAGTTAATATTAATAGTTAATATTTATGTTGTACTCAAAGTATATTTATGTAATAAAGTAAAGCTTTTTTCCGTTGCTGAACATAAAAGTTTTAAGTTAAAAAACGATTACCCAAGGCAATTCGATGGAACGACGATCAACTCTATAAAATGTACTGCTATACCCTCATGAAATCACGAGGGCGTTTGTTAAGGAAGTTTAAAGGGTCTTTGCGTAAAGCAGCTTTACTGAAAGGTGAAACTCCGGAGCTTGCTGACGTTTCGTTTGGCAAAACTACAACATACTTCTTAAACCACCACTACAACCGGCACTTGTGTCGCAACGAGCCAACTCAAGACATACACTCACTCAACTCGACTTGACTCAACTCAAAATAAAAGCAAAGGGATCCGAAGAATATAACCAGGCGACACGCGAGGGCTTTTTCCTGCTGCGGCTGCTTACAATTTCTTTCAGATTACACGCGCGATGTCCTTAGGCAAGAAAGGGAAAAAAATATTGTAAAATACCAGGTCAGAGGCAAGAGGGTTCGCTCGAGCGCTTTTTCATAAATTCGTAACGCGGGACGACTTACTCTGCCCCTCGGCGCGTTAAACAACATCAAACACTACCCAGTCAACTCATAAAAGCTCACCTCTTACCTCTTACCTCTGACTATAAATTTATTCACAATTTAAACCCACTTTTTTATTTTAAATAAAAATTACTTTACTTAATTCATTTCTATCGTTCCCTCTTTCATTTCTTTCCTTTTAAATTTTTACATCCATTCATTTTATAGACAGAAAAAGAAATCTCGAATTTTTTTTTATCCGTAATATCAACATTTTTTCCAATAAAAATGTAATGAGCATTTTTTCCCGCATTGATTTACGAGTACGAGTGGTTAAAAAAAATATAAATCACCCGGCGAGTTTAATGGGATCGCGGGGGTGGATACGAGCGCTCGGAAGTGAAAACGATGAGGGGTGCTAAGGGGGAGAAAAAGCTGTGTGGAAAACCATGACATGCCCACACTCGAGTAGCATATCGTCACTACCACAGAAGTTGTCGCTAATGCCCGCGCATATTCCCGGTCCTCCTTTTTTGTCTACAAAACTTTATTTTTTTATCATTTTTCTCCACTGTCTTTATTTTTCGTCTTTCGGTTCAACGCAAACTTTTTTCCCGGGATGATTACCAGGAGCGTCCTTCCGCGGTGCGACATCCGTCGGACTCAACTTTTGGTCCTTGTCCAATAAAACTTGGCACATGCTCTCCTCCGATCCCGGATAAATGTCCGGAAGATTACACCAAACGACCCCGAGTACGGAGCGGGAGTCGGCAGGTCCCTTATTTAAAGTCCAGCCTCGTGCTTTTTGTCAGAGTTTTCGGGCTCGTTCTTGCAGTTGAATTGTTATACCCACCAAACGTTACATAACTTAGATAATACAATGAGAGAATTGTCGAAAGTTACTCGCTCAAGTGGAGACGAGAATCAGTGAGAAGTTGATCAGCCTTTGGATTTAACAACCAACCACTCTACTCTCTACTTCTCTTCCACATTATCTGCTCGCTAAACTCTTGGATTAAAGCCATATTTTCGGGCTGAATAATACACACGCAGAATTGATGAATAAAGCAGAGTGTATATAGGTATACAAGAATGAGTGTATAAAATTGTTGAGAGTTTTGTTAACAAAGATAAATGGGATAAAAGTTGTTGGCTGGATGACTAAAGGCTCTGCCGGTTAGTTTTGAATTAAAATAATGGGAAAAGTAAACGACAAGTGTTGTACCTATTTGGCTAACGTGTTTGCTGCTTAGTTGGTAGTTGGTGAGGGTTTGAGATAAATTACTGACCTTTTTTCGACTTGTCGGATGAAGTTGGCGAGTCTGCTCGCGCATTAATTGCGGTCGCTCCGGGCACAGGTAACGTTGAGGACGAAACAACTGGTGTACAAGAGGCAACTGGACTAGCCGCGGCAACGGGTAACAAAAGTTTCCTCTTATGGTTACACAACTTTGTCATCTCCCGAGTCTTTCCCTGGTCTGGACTCCAAGGTCGTGTCGCTACCTGCAACATCAAAAGCCAATTTATTAATTTAAAGATACTTTTTATTCTTAATGTTTTGTACTTAAGAATTTTAATAAGTTTGATTAATTATTTTATTTAAAAAACAATTGATATAATTTAATTGTTTGATTAATGAATATTATTTATTGCTCGTTAGTTATTTTATTATTATTATTAATGATATTTTATTAAAAGAAAATATTTATCTAACTGATTAAGAGTATCTTATTGTTGGGAATATTAATAATAATTGTCATATTTATTATTCATAACTTTGTAAGTTATCAGTTATCACTTTTCACGTAACATATATACGTACAATGCACGACACAATAATTATAATTATTAGCGATAACATTTATTGTGAATAATAATGCAATTAATATTATTATCGCATTATGGTTTTTGTTGTGACATTTGAATAACTGTATAATAATAAGAAATTGATAACGAGTTTGTTTTTTATTTTTAAATTTAAATGATAAAACTTATATTTTATTGCTGTTTTACAAATTGTTTTTTATTTGTTGGTATTTTTTTTTTTTTTGTTAAAAATATAAAATTTTTAATTAATATTTATTATTAACATTTGTTTAAATAATTACTTAATTGCCAATAATTTTATTATTTTAATTATGCAATTAAATAAATAATAAACTTGTGATAAAGATGTTATTTATTGGTATAAAAACTTAAATATTTTTTCAGTGGAAAAAAAAATGACGCAATTTTGAAATTTTATTTAATAAAGTGCTTTTGATAACACCTATTCTTTTATCCAACATATTAAACGACAATTTAATTAAATTTAATTGAAATTCAGTCGAGTTTAGTTGAATATATTTATCTTATAAATTGTTTGAGAGATATTTGTTAAGTTTTAAAATGCATAATTCATGAAATTCTCAATTTAATAATCCTGGTTTATTAGCAGCGTAGTTGAATTGCCACTAGAATAATAGGATCGAGTTGAGAAAGAATGAGCGAGAGATAAGGATGAGGACAAAGTAAGGGTAGAAGTAGAGATAGTATTGAGGTAGAAATAGAGACAGAGGTTGAGGTTGAGGTTGAGGTATAAAATGAAAAAGGTAAATTGAGAGCAAGTACGATCAAATTAAATAGCTTGTCTTCCGGGTCTTCAGAATAATATTCTGACTTGCACAAGTGGATTTAAAACCGAGATAGCAAATAATACGAATGAATTTCTGTTGGCAGTGCAACTGAAAACCCGTCTGTCCGTCACTCGATTCATGAAATGCGATAACTCGTCAAGTTTATTTATATTGTATTGCTCCGCCGGATAAGGATGGATGGACGTATAAAGGATAAAGGATAAATAAATAAATAAATAAGTAATGGAAGAGTGAAAAATAAATTAAATAGCTTCTACTAGGCGTATATACAACAACAACAACAATAACAACAACAACACTACTACAATAATGATCAACTGTAATTGGCAGCGAGAGACTCGTGACTCTACTGAGCTGTGGAATCTCTCACGACGATGTACTCTCTCATGAATCTCATGATCGATGCGCAAACTTCTTTGATCAGGTTGTCCGCCGATACACACGCAAACAACCCCAACATTTATTTTTATTTTACTTTATTTCAGCGAGTACTTGTTCAAATATTTTATCTTCTTCTTAACTCTTTTTATCTCCCACGGCGAAACTATACCAAGATCGAGACCGTTAATACATCATTGCCGGCTAGTAGAAAAGGCCCTTAGCAGTCAGACGATATGCCAACACAATTTAAGCTCGCAGCTTATAATAATTCAAACAATGAATTTACTTACACACAATAGTCGTAAAGATTTTTATAATTTATTTCTCAGCTGTCACGATCTTACTCTTAAGCCGGCTGATATTAAACTGACCTTTAAACTTGGTAGGTTCATGTAACTCCCTTAACTTGTTCATCCCTAAATATTCAACCATGATTGGTCCGTCTGTTCTCTCCCTCTTTGTGATTTTACATAAAGTAATTAAATTTTAAAGTGTTTCTTTGAAATACAGTTCACTTAAACTTGTCCCATTCAACTTTAATTACTTGGTATAAAACCATTAAGAAAGTAACTAACTACTGACCGCTCATAAAATTATAGGAATATATATTTGAGGACATTAATTTAAAGGAAAATGATTTGTCATTTTTTTATTTATTTTCAATGAAAAATATACAAAGTTTTTTCACTAATTATATTTACTTATACACGGGAAAAAATTTCTGGGAAAATTTACGATACAACTATTGTAAAGCTGGACTATACTTTTATTACTATTAATTATCAAATATTTTAGAAGAGAAAATACTATTTATTCATGAAAAAATTCGATATTACTATTGCAAAAAGTTGAATTGGAATGTCTCTCAATTAGTGTGAGTGATGGCCGTGCACAGCGCTAGACTTTGAGTTTATGTAAATGTTAAAGGATATGGGTCTTAGTTTACCTCGGATAGCGTAGAGGGAGAGTCTCTGGCTGCTAACACAGAGTTCTGGGTTCGATTCCCAGATAGCACAAAAATGTTGGTTTCTTTTTTCGATTACTGTACACTGAGAAAAAAGTATTTTGATAATCAAAATACCAAGTATTCTGATTATCAGAATACAAGTCAATTGAAGACCTATACTCTGCGCAGTAAACTATAATATATGCGCTGTCACTGCCATCGACGTTTTAACACTAACAGTCAGTTTATTTGATTTATGCACTGGTAAAAATAGAATTCAACTAATATTTATTATATTAGCTTGAAAAAAATTTATTATTACACTTTTAATTTTAATTTTAATTTGTTTTGTTAGCTTTATAAGTCAATTGATTTGTGTCAGTTAAGTGAGGTTATAAACATCTAATAGTCTGTTATATTGGTATACTGATAATCAGTATACCTAAGTATTGTGATAATCAGTATACTTATTTTGATAATCAAAATACCACGTATTCTTAGTAGCACAATACCAAGTATTCTGATTATCAAAAAAAATATCCTTAGTAGCAAAATACTTTTTTCTCAGTGTACAGGTACCAATTAGTCCAGCCTTCTATCTCTCTCCCTCCCTAATATTTCTTTTAAAAAAACCAACTGTGAATTTTTACAATAGTTAAATTGTAAAGTTCACAAACACATATTGTATAATTTGCTCTATAGTATTCGACTTTTTAAAACTCTTGCTAGTCTTATTTGTTGGATAAAATTTACAATAGTAGATCGTAAAAATTGCTAAATGAGAAGTATAGTCCACCGTTACTATTTTATTTAGTAAAAATTACAATAGTATAAAATAGTAAAAACTCCTTCAACTTTCTTTCCGTGTAGAGATAAAAAATTTATCTGTACACAGAAAGAAAAATTTCTTCACTGGAGAACAAAATTCTTGGCTCAAAAAAATTTTCGGGTACCTGAAGGAAGACACAAGTTGTGTTGGCCGAAGTAAAAATTTTTCGAGAAATTCTATTCTTGGTGGAAGTAATTTTTTCTTAATTCAAATTATCATAAATATTTGATACAATAAATTTTTATATTTGATCAAGATTTTTAGATACCTTAGGGAAGCAGCGCCACCTACTTCAGCTGAAAAAAAAATTTTCTCACCTTGAGAAAATTTTTCTCTTGAATATTTGATACCCATTTTATATTATTTTAGCGTGCAATTATACATTATTGAATGAAAAGAAATTATTCAATATTATTTGATCTTTCCATTTTACATGTTGATCAATAAAAATATTAATGAAAATTTACTTCCATCTTTATATTTAATTTTTTGGAGCAAGAGAGAAATTTTCTCAAGACAAGAAAATTTACTTCTATCAAGAACTAAATTTTTTGGAGCAAGAAGCTGAATTTTCTCAAAACAAGATTTTCTTGACTTAAATAAATTTTTTTGGATCAAGATACGTATTTCTTAAAGCAAAAGAATTAATTTTGTTGGAATAAATGAATATCTTGTGTCAAAAAAAAATTTTCTTTTCGCTCAAAAAAATAATTAGGAAAAAAAATATTTTCTTGGCTCAAGTGAACCTTTTTTTCTGTGTACATAGGTTGGAATTAATTGATAAATAATTGTTTTGAACACAAAATTTTACTTATAATAAAATTATGATTGGTGTGACTTTAATAATCAGTTGAAGGACATAAAAAAGTAATCAAAAAAAAAAAAAAAAATTAAATTGAAACGTTACAGCCATGATTGATTAGAGAAAAATGAAGTAACTATCGTGTACGTCGTCGTCACGCATCGTTAACTTTAATTTACCCAAACATTTATATCACATATAATATCAGTAGGTAGACCAGGAAGGTACACAAGTAAAGAGCGTGCGGTACAAAGGTGCATTAACGTCGATCTTTATTGTTCGGCAGTAGTTTGTAAAAATTGCAGGCACGTAACGAGGCCGTTTGGTTCTTTCGGAGCCTCAACTTTTATCTCTAACGAAGGTGAAGACACGTTGACGATCCAGACAATGCTTGAGACTTAACTTGAGACTCGAGACACCAACGGCCCCCTCAACCCAACACAATCTCACTCACAACTCATTTAACGTTTTTATTTTATTTTCTTACCTCCAACTTATCCGCAATACCGTAAATCTCCGGTCACAACATTTCTAATTAACGCTACACGCGAGTCCGTTCTGTCACCAGAAAAACACCCGGGCAGCTCCAATTAAAGAATTAAAATCCTCTAATAAATCCAGCAGACGCTCATCTGCGATAGCTACAAGGGATCTCCTCTCTCTCTCTCTTCCTCGGCTTTATTGTTTCCGTTACATAAAATCAATTGCTCACATCAACGGCAAAAACGGATATTGCCATTAAAATTTTAACAACCGCCGCAATCTCTTCTTTCTATTACTCCGCTCTTGTTTATTATTTGCACCGTGAATTTACCGAGTTGAAAAGCGCAGCGACGCAATAATTCAGTCACGCGTGGGTGATCTCGTAATTTTATCTAAAGTGTAAGCGCAGACACTTTTTATCAGATTAAAAATCAA